GAGCTTTGTAAAAATCGACGCGTTTCAGAAAGGCAGGACATAGAGAAACAATAATGTACAGTATGTGGAAAATAATGTGTTTTTTTAACCTTAAACCGCATAAACACATTTAATTACACTAAATACACAAAATAATGTTCTTTTTAGCAACATCATATGACCCCTTTAAAAGGAACAGCATTTATTTAAAATAGAAATATTTTATAATGTCTTAACTGTCACTTTTGATCAAATTAATGTGTCCTTAATTTCCTTCCTCCTAAAAAATCTTTACCAAACCCCCCTCTCATGTCAAAGTTGTGATCGGTGTTTACTGTCCCAGTGGATACAAAAGCGAGGGCTCTTACAAATGTTAATCTTGGCTAGTTGTCAAAATTGGTACTACAACAAATTGGTGGTAACTTGATATTAGAACAATCTCTTTAAAATGAGTCCGTTCATTCAACCGGACAGCTATTTTCCAGCTATTTTCTTATAATGTGTGTATAGTAACCATTGTGCTGTGGAAACTCTTGCGAGTGCACATTTGCTGCTGCTGCTGCCATAGAGTTAGGATAGTTTTGTAACAGTCAAATGTGAAGACACGTCTAGATTAAATAAAACAGGCCATGCCTCTATCAAAAAGGCTCTATCAAAAAGGTTATTCTTACTGAAAAGAGGAACTTCCTTTCTGTCATATAGAGGATTGATTTCTCAGGTTCATTTTCTATGAGTGGTCTGTCTCCTCATATTAACCTACGCTGTCATAAAAAAAACAAAAAAAACATTAAACGGCACATTTGCTGCAAAACCAGTTTTTGATTCAAACAGGGAAAGAAAGTGATGTGTAGAATGGCTTGTATTTGTCTTACTTCTCAGTTTTCTCTTTCTTTCTGTCTCTCTTGCTCCTGTGGTGTAGACGTCACAGCTCCTTCTGTTCTAACTGTGCTGATCTACTGTAGGCTCCATCAGACCTGTCTGCTCCAATCACAGAGTCCTGGAGTGTGTGTGTGTGAGAGAGAGAGAGTTCACCTGTCAGCATGAGTGTTTGTGTATCCCAACATCCTATTCGCCACATTCTAATGCCATGGGTATCTCCTCTATGGGCAGATTGCTTGACGGCACGAGTCTGTATCTGAGTCTGGTGTGTTTGCTTCATGAGTACCATGCTACATCTGTGCTAATTAAAGCAAAATACATGCAGCTGAGCAAATGGATGCCACAAGGCACCATCACAGATGTCTGAACGGAGAAAGTGAGGAGGATTTGAATCGACACAATCTGTAGGCTCCACACAGAACATCTCCCTCATTTTCTACCTCCTTTGACCTAGATGACCCACTCATGTAATGAAAAGCAAAATATACCTTATAAAACAATTAATTATCTTTTATTTGTATTTAAATGTATATCTGTATTTTATTTTTTTAAAAATTAATAAATGCCCATAGCACAACATCACTGTAGTTTAGAGGAATATATTTATTCCCCTTGTTTAAAAGCCTTACATTTGTTAACATCCGCAAGTAATTTCGGAACGTTTTTGGCTATGCTGAAATCAGTCTCTCAGAGAGCCTCCCCTCTGTAAATGATAGCAAAAGCTGACCTCTTATTAAAGAAAAAATTATAGAAAGGAAAGGAGCATGATATCCGGTCTATTTCAGATTTAAACGTGATATGAAGAATATTGCTTTAATTTAGTCTTGGCAGAAGGTTCTGCAGAAAAGTGAGTCCTGTTCCTGTTTTTAAAATTTTTTGGCAGTAAAGAGCTAACAATAAAGAGCTTTTTTATTTTATTTTATTTTATTTTATTGCCAGTAAAGAGCTAAAAATTAAGTGTTTCACAGCTTTTACTTAATTGGATTTTATTTTATTTTTATTTTTCTTGCACTAATCTGAACAAAATAGATTTTTTGGTAGCAAATAAACATAGTCTGTCAGTCTGTTTTTGGCTTTGCATTCTTTTATCCATATATTTGTTTCAGTAATATTTTAGTTTTTGTTCATTTTTGTTGTTATCCAAGTGTTCTTAAACCTTGTGTTGTCATTTGACAGCAGATTGCTATCAGCCTTAAAAGTCCTTGAAAAATGTCAATGAAGCTGCAGTTTTTGCACATGCAGTCGATAATCCTGTTCACCTTTAGTTTACTCGAATCAGCTGAGATCAGTGAGTTGAGAGTGTTCTCTGTCAGAGTCCCCCATTTGATTTGTAATTTCCTCTGTTCCCCTCTCATTTCAGCTTTTTGCACACAATCAAGTACCGAGCCAAGTCCCCTGTGACAAAGTCGCCCATCTCTATGGTAACGGTGCGCACTGTTAGTGTCCCTATGACACCTGAGCGGCTCCGTGGTCTTTAACACGAGAAAATGGGACAGTGATTTGGGCGTCTGGGGTTTCTCTAGGGCTGGCCAAGAGAATCAAAGATCCAAGAAATTCCAAAGCAGACAGATTTTTCTGACTCTTGCCTCTGTCTACAAGCTATTCTCAGAACGATTTAGCCATTTTTGTCAGTTGTTTTCTACGTTTTTAGATTCATACACTTTACTTTTACATCTGCACACATAAATGCGTCACTCATCACTTTTTTTGATCGTCTCCTGGAAATGACATTTCCATTTATAGACGGAGAATATCCATCTGTTTAAAATGCGTAATATGTTTACAAAGGCGAGAGCATCCAGTCTCAAAAGTGGTATATTGTTTTATCCTAATCAAGAAAGCCGAATCCTTGTATAAACATTCAATTAGAGGCGACGGGAAATCCAGACACTGCAATTAAAAACGAGTTAAAGAGAAGGCCGTTTTCAGATGCACAACAGACTAAAGAAAAGGAAAGGGAGCAAAAGAACTGTTCCAGAAGCCAGTGAATGAAAAATGCTGAGCTTGACTTTCAGGCTAAAACTTCATTTGCATATTTCTACAAATTGTGCAATTTGTGCATTGTAAACAAAAAGTGCATACTGTTGGTGATGCTAAATTACATGGTTTTAAGTAACAAATCAGCTAAAGTGTCAATATTGGGTTGCTATGATATCATGAGATTGTTTCCAAACTACATAATTTAATAGGTAACGACAGTTTGAGACTGGAAATTGGGATTCGACCATACTTTCACATGTTTTCCCCCTAACATGAACAAAAACGTATAGATCTTGTTATCTGTATATGTGAGACCATGCTGTAGTCGATGTAGGGGAAAGGTGTCAGTATTATAAACCAGCATGAAAACACCCACTAGACCCTTACGGAGAGTAAACCACCTGGGATTCAGTCAAATCAGCAGTTCCTAGCAACACGGCCTGCCGTTTTTCCTTTTCCTTTTGAAGTTTTCTGTAAATTCAGTAAAATTCCGTTGAGTTCTTAAAAAAACGACCATGACTTGAACTTTGTGTTTGTTGTTGTGAAAGTCTTCACATCTTGTCAATGTAATCTCTTTAAGGTTTCAGGTGTGAAATTCCATATGGAAACATTAGGGCGTCTCAATCAGCTCCCTTGTTCAGTAGTCAGTGCACTGATCAGGGAATCTGCCATTTTAAGGGCTGTCTCAAGTGCAAAATCCTTCCAGTGCACTGGAACGTTTGCTCCCTGAAAAATCCCACAATGCACTGCAAATTCTAGGGAGCTGTGCTCACTATGCTCGCTTACCGGAAATAACGTCACATTTCTGAAGCGCGAAACAGACTACAGGAACCAACTCGATAAAAAAATGACACACGATAGAAGATTTGAAAGACAAACGTTTTTTTTTTTAGGATATTTCAGCATAAACACACATCTGGTTAACATTTATAATTAATAATCGGCTGAAATGTTGTAAGAACATGTAACAGAACAGATGTGTTTAAAGAGAATAAAAAAATATCAAAAAGTGATCGGTCCTGCCTGTTGTTTATTAAAGGGTTAGTTCACCCAAAAATGAAAATTCTGTCATTAATTACTCACCCTCATGTCGTTCCAAACCCGTAAGACCTTCGTTCATTACAAAGCTGCGAGAATACTTTTTGTGAGCAAATAAAACAATAATAACACTATTTATTCAACAATTCTTCTCCCCGAGTTACCGTCAACATAATCAGCGTTGTTTACATTCAGTAGCCAGTGCGCGCATGCTGAACGTAAACAACGCTGATTACGTTGATAACGACATGAGGGTGAGTAATTAATGACAGAATTTTCATTTTTGAGTGAACTAACCATTTAATTCCAGTGGTGACGTTTTACTATGTTGTCCGTTGACGTTGTACGTAATCATGTCACCGGAAATTGAGTGGTCACTGGCCAATATGCAGTGAGCCAGGGCACTTACCAGTGACTGGATTCGTGTACACAGTATACTGATTCACAAGATAGGGAGCTGATTGAGATGCACCCATAATTGGATAAGTTCTGAAAATAATATGTTTTGTCTGTGGTGATTAAGTAATCTGGAAAAAATTCATTTTCAAGTATGAATGTGTGTGCTGTTCTACAAACACACAATGAAAGCACACACATTTGTTTTTCTCATAATGTCATTTATTCAGTCCTGTGTTTATCTTAAGTTTCATATATTATGAAATGAAGCACACTTACAGTATAGAACTTTATACAGTTTGAGGTTTATTGCAAAATTTTTTTTACTACGACCTCAGTCATATCCTGTAAGATTCATATCTTGTAAGATTCTTAAACAACTTTTCCATATGGGACAGGGACTGTGCATCTGACCTAATGTTCGATTTAGTCACTCATACTGTGTGTTTAATTGTTCCTGTTTGGAAAACTAATGAGTCCTGCTGTGCTAATCCTTAATTTTTAAATGGCTTCCTTTCTTTGTCTCCCTCCCATTTCCTGACTACTACTTCAACTTTCCTCACCCAGACCTTTGCTCGTAGTGTTAGTCAAGTTCGTTTTTGCATATGTAATCTGATTATCTTCCTTTTAATGTTTGTACAAAAATACAATATTTCATACTTATAGCAACATGTTAGACAAAATCAGAAATTGACAAAATTACATTATTTTATTGCAGTTAAAAAAAATTATCCCACACAATATGAAATCAGGATTAAAATATACCACCCTAGGTGTTATTATGTGTGTGTGTGTGTGTGTGTGTGTGTGTGTGTGTTTGTTTGTGAATCAGTGGTTATCATTGTAGCTTATCTCTTAGTCAGAATTATTTTTCCATTGCCAAGATGTGACAGTTTTATTACTTCACTATTTAATTGCCTGACCAGCCAAAGGTAAATTTTATAATACAAGATGAAAAATAAGTGATCTATCAGTATTGTAAAAAATATGAATTCACTGTTTAATAAATGCATTTTATCTTTTGTAGTTTTTGGTTGTGTATACTTTTAATGTTCATTTTATCTCTTTATTCAAAATACTCTTTGTATTTTGTCTCTTTATTTCCTATTAGTGATCCATACGTCAAACTCTCCCTGTATGTCACTGATGAAAACCGCGAACTTGCCTTAGTACAAACGAAAACCATCAAAAAGGTGAGTGTTATCCACACTCAGTGACTTGTTTGTGACATTGAAGTTTTAGTTTGTTTCTTAGAGATTTTAGGAAAACTGAATGAACTGAAAGCACACACAGTAATGAAGTGATGAGATAAACAGGTGATTGTTAAAGATGTCAAAACCACTGCCACTAGGAGGAGTACTTCCATAGACCTGTGGCAGTACTGCATGGGCTTTCATAGTTATGTCAGGCCTTGAATAATATGACTCAACAGTTGTAACAATTTTAGAAATTCAGGACCTTTTGAATGCATACAGGCTACTTAAAATGAGTGAACATTTTATTTGCAAAATTGTAGTGTGAACTGGGGAAGAAAATGTGTTTTATTTGCATGGAAACAATGCCAGTCATTATGGTTTTAAAATAAGCTTTATTTATTTTTTTTAAACATAATTATATCATATCTTTCTCTTGATTCTGTAAATCATGACCCAGACATGTTTCATGACATTCACTCTCACAAAGTGCTTGTGGAGGAAATGAGTGTATGTACAGTGACAGTAATGGAATACTAAATTATACTTCCCTGTTTATCTGTTTGTCCTTGGAATGCACACGCAAGGAAATAAACAACGAGCCAAAGAGAAGTCACTTACGATAACGTCACCAGAAATTAGCTATTTAAATGAGGCTTGATGTGACATTCATAGACCATCTTTAAGCCAAGTGCATGCTTTGTTTTGATGCAAATATATTATAGGCCATACAGATAATTATTAAAAAAGAAGTTTTTAGGGGCAGAAAAATAGTTTTGATGCGTGTTTAATATTGTTCTTTAGAAAATGTATTAGCATTTAAAAATGAGAGTGATTTTGATAGTGTCAATATCATAAAAAATATCCAGGGAAGAAAAAAAAGAAAATATATAAATATATAGTTAAAAATATATATATATACATTTATAAATACATTTAAAGTTTTTATTAATCTTAATTCATTTTAACACTTACTAATACATTTTTAAAAATGTAAAATAATTTATGTGTTAATGTTATTCAGTAAACATGAACTAACAATGAACTAACAAAAAATAATAAGTACTGTAACAAATGCATTGTTCATTGTTAGTTAACATATTAACCAATGTTAACTAATAGGACCATATTGTAAAGTGTTACAAATATAAGATTGAGAATTTTAATGAGTAAATATGATTAATTAATTTAATAATGATCAAATGTGAGAACTGGTAGGAGAAATGTTTTTAATTGACATTTATTATTTGTCAGAATTAATAATAAAAAATTAAGAAAAAAAAAAATTGTCATTTAATATCAAAATTGGTCTTCCTTTTCTTTAGCAAAATCTTTGTTCTTTTAATTTTTGGGTGAAATATCGTCCGGACATTTTCTTTACGGGGTTCTTTTGGACCACTGAATGAAAACTAAGAGTTTGGTCTACCTTGGGCAGGCGATAAATTGATTTAGCAAGTCAGTCAGCATTTGGGTCCATTCACTTCCATTAAGTCTAGGGGCAGAAAAATAGTTTTGATGCGTGTTTAATATTGTTCTTTAGAAAATGTATTAGCATTTAAAAATGAGAGTGATTTTGATAGTGTCAATATCATAAAAAATATCCAGGGAAGAAAAAAAAGAAAATATATAAATATATAGTTAAAAATATATATATATACATTTATAAATACATTTAAAGTTTTTATTAATCTTAATTCATTTTAACACTTACTAATACATTTTTAAAAATGTAAAATAATTTATGTGTTAATGTTATTCAGTAAACATGAACTAACAATGAACTAACAAAAAATAATAAGTACTGTAACAAATGCATTGTTCATTGTTAGTTAACATATTAACCAATGTTAACTAATAGGACCATATTGTAAAGTGTTACAAATATAAGATTGAGAATTTTAATGAGTAAATATGATTAATTAATTTAATAATGATCAAATGTGAGAACTGGTAGGAGAAATGTTTTTAATTGACATTTATTATTTGTCAGAATTAATAATAAAAAATTAAGAAAAAAAATAATTGTCATTTAATATCAAAATTGGTCTTCCTTTTCTTTAGCAAAATCTTTGTTCTTTTAATTTTTGGGTGAAATATCGTCCGGACTTTTTCTTTACGGGGTTCTTTTGGACCACTGAATGAAAACTAAGAGTTTGGTCTACCTTGGGCAGGCGATAAATTGATTTAGCAAGTCAGTCAGCATTTGGGTCCATTCACTTCCATTAAGTCACTAATCAGTAACGTCCTTAGTCTGGAATCTCCTATGCTGCGACGGCACACTCTTCTGGTTATTAATAGCTGACAATGCACCGCTGTGTGGAACATAAGCCTCCTCGTTCCCCAGGTCTCACTGTTGACGGATGCTTTAGATGTACTGCTTTGATAAACTGGTCTGGGAACTCAATGGCCTGTGGCACATAACAGCAGAGCATCTTGCCACTATAAACAGAGACGTAGGCTCTTATAATCTAATCATTATGAACTATATCTACATATATATTTTTACTGAAGGCTTATATGAAACATTTACTTTTAATTTATGGCTAATGCACTTTCTACTTATTACATTTTTGTGTGTCAGGAAGGTCATTGCACTCATTACTGTTAATGGAAATTTAAGAAATAAAAACAAAACAGGCCAGTTTTGAGTGATGTGGTCACTTTTAAAAATGCCAAAAATTGCTAACATTTGAGTTTATGCAATTTTACCAGAATGTAATTTTCATTAATTCAATTTTTTTGGGAATCTTTTGGAAAAATGAGGACCCGAGCTGATGACTTATGATACAAATTCACGATTAAAACAAATGTTGCAGAAAGAAAAAAAATAGTGAATTGACGCCAAATATACATAAAATAGACATTTATATGTAATTTGGCCACATGCCTATTATCGAAAGCCTGATATTTTTTCCTTGTTTAGTTATGTGCTTTTGGTTTACACAAGCATAGCTTGTGAGATGCCAGTTTAAACCGTTTTTAACTACACAACTATGTTTACAATAGGCAATTACCTATTGTAAAACTTTGTATAGACACAGATAAATAAGGGTGAAGTTGAGTTGCAGGCTGTGACAAGATTTTTTGTTAGTCAGGAGGTGACAGCTGCATGACCCTCAACAGACATGGAGATGGATTGACTAGTGGCTGTTTGGCCTCGCGTAAGAGGAAGTCAACCTGGTCTTGGTTAAGCTTAAAGTGATGATTAGTTATCTAAGCTGGAACGTAAGAGATGCAGACTATGAAGAAAGTGGAAATGGAGGGAGATTATAGGATCTAGAATTAAGTGTTGTCGGCATAACACTGCTAAGAGAAAGTATGTGGTTTGATAACAGAGCAACAGATAATGTCAGTGGTCCCAGTGCAGAGCCCTGTGGGACTAGTTGTTGTGGGAAGGCTGTTGAGTATGTGATAGGTAGAAAATTAACCTCCAGTTGACTTGATTTAGTCGTTTTACCAAGTAGGATAGAAAGCAGGCAAGCAGTTGACTGTCAGATGCAGCGGACATGTCAGGAAGAATCAAATTGGAGGAAAGAGAATGCTCTGGCCATCATAAGTGATTCAGTCACTGCAAGGAGAGAGGATTTCAGTTCACCAGTATGATTTGCTGACTTTATACAATAAGGGCATGAGCAAAGACATAAGATAATGAACCAGAGTTGGCAGGTTGATTTAGCTGATGGTATAAAATTCTAGGAATCAATAAAAATTTTTTTTCATTGAATTGAATCAAAACTCTGATTAGTTCGATCATCACTCAAAACTCAAATGTCCTTGAAAGTCTCCTTGTACAGGTTTTCTATATATCAAAAATGTTTTTCTAAAAAGTAAATGTAGGTGTTTACTTTGTACTGTTATATTGATGCATATTATGTAAATGTAGTGAAATAAAGTCTCATAAGCTTTTATATACTGTATGGTTAGAAGGCTGAAAATGATTGAGATCAGCCAGTGTTTCCGTCAGACGTTACTTTGTATTCTTCTTGTATAATTTACACCTGGGTGTGCTTCTACGCTTCAATAACCCGAAGTATTTTCACAAGCTTTGGCACATGGTTCACAGACCAATAAATCAGATGTATTTACAGCATCCTGCATGTCTGTGTGTGCGAATCATATCAGTATGTACGTATATGTATGTTTATGACCCGCCAATCAAGGAGTTCTTGTGCGGATTACATTTTAATGTGTTACTGTAAATTTGAGACCACATTGAGAATCTGAGATTCACAATGTAAAATTAATTAGAAATATTTAAGATTCCACACTGTTTTGTGGTCATCAATTGCTGGATAACATGATTATCAGATTTTGTTCATGTCAGTTCTGCTAACATACCAAATACTAAGTTCTGAAAACTTTCAGTTGAATGTTTTACTCAAATATACTGATAAAAAAACTCAAGTCAGAAACACAAAGCATTTACTTGTTACTATTGCATATGTTTGTTTCTATATTACATTAAATCAATTAAGGTACTCCTCTGAGGACATTTAAATTAAGCTGTCAATCAATCTTCTATGTAGACTTAATGATTAAGTTATTCTTCCACTTAAAAGGATCAATAGCAGTCAAGGGCTGGTGCACTCTCTCTGTCTGAATGTCAGCACCCACCCTTCTCTCTCTCTCTCTCTCTCTCTCTTTATCTGTGAGCGACCGTAAAATATTTTATTCAAGTATAGTAAATATTAGCCAAGGTCTCCTGTTCTAAATTTCCTTTGTGGTTTAAATTTCATCAAGGTAATGGCATACTTGTCACTGCTGTAGTTTAATTATTATTTTTTAGGTACCCTACTGGCTTTCTTACTTACATTTCTTAGCAAGCGGGTATCATCTTTCAGAATTTAATAAAGCATGTCTGCTTAAATTCCACCTTGATACCTGAATTTGAATTGAGTTTGAAATTATTTTGAGTTTAAATATGATTTTTAAGGAGGAAAAAAATGCTTTTAATGTTTTTTTAGTCTGTATTACGTTGACATTGACATTTCCATAAACATTATACATAATTTGTGTATATATATTCTAATGCATGCACAAAAAAGCTAGCTATGCTTTATTTCCCACCTGTAAGTTAGTAAATGTGGAAAACATGTTATGTTAATCAAGTTACCTGTTTAATTAATTGATCATCAGTTTTTTAAAAGGTTACAGATATTGATAGATTTTGTAACCTTACAATGCAAAACTATAATTTTGTATCAGTTCATTCTGAGTTGTGTGAGATAAATGTTGAAACGCATAAATAACATGTTTTTGGTTCTTTTTTAGACTCTCAATCCCAAATGGAATGAGGAATTCTATTTCAGAGTAAGTTGATTATTCTATCTTTATTTATTTTCTTATTGTTTTGGTTGTCCACAGTTGAGCCCCGGATGGCTCATGCATTAATGTAGCTGTTATATATATATTTTTTTTATTTAGTTTTTAATTAAATCTTAACTTTGTCCAGTGCTATTAAGAACTTAACACTGAAATATTTTTTGGAATACACATCTGTTACTATGCCTCACCTTTCGTCACTGCCACAATTGTAATAATCTTTTATTAGAAGCAGCATGCAATTTTGTGACATCAATGGCCGGTAATGTTGCTTGTGCGTAAAACGATCTATTGAAAGATTGTGAGCTGCTTCATTTAGAAGTCCGTTCACATGAACGTGATTTATAGATGCTATTCTAAGCCCACGATAATGACCCCCCTATTCATTACAGTACCTAGATTCACACCAGAACCAGGTTTGGCACCTGAATCTCAGAAAACAACCCTGCCAGTGAAATAGTATTACAGTATATCGCACATTTCATGTGCCTGCTTCGGATAGTTAGGTAGTGTGCATGTGACTGTGAAATGTGTGTGTGCATGTGCATTTTTGTTTATTAGCCATTCTATTTTTTTATTTTTTTAAATAATTGATATTTTTTCAACAGTACTACACAAAAGCATTGAGTTTGTACTTCTGTCATATCTGCAGGTCTGCCCACAGAACCACAGGCTTCTTTTTGAGGTGTTTGATGAAAACCGCCTGGTAAGAACCACTTCAGCACACATCAATTAGAAATTGCTCCAAAATCACATCAGTTGCTCTAAATCCTAGTGAACTGCCTTGGTCAATTTCGAAATCAACAGACATTGGCAATTTGTTTACCAAGCAAAAACTTCGCCCACAATAATAACAATAAATTTGAATTAGGTGCAATGTCTATCAATGTGATCTCAGGACCAAATTCACCAGAAACTCCAGCACTGTTGGCAGATTTCTAAATGCTTATGACAGTTGTCATTGCCTTCACTTTACTGTGATTGGCTGCTGCATGGCTTTTTAAAATAAAATTTGTGAAATTGAGCATTTCTCAACTTTTTGACATTCTCACCACTTGCTCCCACAATCACCCACGCAAGTTTCGAGAATCGAAAACACTCACCTATTTCCATGATAGTTTACACATACCATAACTGTCATAGACCATTGAAAATGACTTACTTGGGACGCTTCACATGGGTAGCAACTAGCAAGAATGTTGCTAAGCTAACAACACTACTTTAAAGAAACATGACACTTACAAATTGATAAAATACTTAATTGAGCAATTTTTGCATTATCATTTGGTTTTGAATGCAATGTAGCTATTTAATCATTAAATACAATGATACAGTGTTTCTTAGCTATCAGTATCTAATAAAGGTAGTATAATGAAACAGCCGAAAATGACTGTGATGCCTTAAAATGCAATGTTTTGCAGTCTAGGTAGGCAGCTTGCTAGGTTTTGGAATACAGCTTGTGTGTTAACTGGTGTTCCAGTTTTCACTTCTTCTCCTCATTACAAAAATGTTTTGTCTGAAAATAGCTTGCACCTCTCAACTGTTCCTCCAAAAGAATCATTAGAGCATTCTGAAAAATGACTGCGGAGAAGTTTTTAATATTTTCCGGCCCAGAAAATCTTGTAGATTTAGTTGTTTGACATGCACTGATAGGTACATTATTAAATGATTTAATTGTGAAACAATAAAAGAAATTTCACTGTTATGCAACTAATGTCAGTGCTAAACCATTCATTAGTGTCCCCATAGCAACAATGCTCAGTTGCTTTGCTTGGTATGCAGTTACCTACGGTACATTCTGCTCTAGTACAAAACCACTTTTGTTTCTAATAAGGAGATGATGTGAGAACCAGTTTAGAGTTCATTTATATCAATCAGACTGACTGCATTTAAACAATTACTTAAAGTTTTGCGACCCAGTTTGCATCCTGTTTATTGTGCAGAGAGTTGTCCCTCAAGTCGGTTGTCTGAATTTAGAATATTTTCTTAAAATATAGTCTATACTAAATGCTAATGTTTTGAAAACTACAGTCATGCATGTTATTTAAGGCATTATCGGCTGTTTACAGTGCAACCGCATCTTTTTAAACAGTGGTTCTCAACTTGTGGGATGCAACCCACAAATGGGTCACAGCAGGGGAAAATTGGTAAATGCAAATAATAACACTTATCAACATTCAAAAGGAAGGAGAAATTCCTCCAGTTTTTTATGCATTCATATATTTTCCTTATGCAGATTTGGTACTGTGATGATGCCCAATGTAGAATGCGAAGCCTGAAGCAAAACCAGTTGAGAACTACTGAGTACATTTAGTAGTTTGAAATGTGAAGTAGAGCTGATGACAGTTCGATAGTTCACTCAAAAATGAAAATTACCATGATTTACTCACCCTCAAGCCATCCTAGATATATATTATTACTTCTTTCAGACAAATACAATCTGAGTTATATTAAAAAATGCCACTCTCGTTAACGCGCGAATGACAGTTGGCGGAATCTAGAGATTACGATTCATAAAGTTTTAAATATGGATCTTTTTCTTACACAAACATATCGCTACACTTCAGAAGGCCTTTATTAACCCCCCCGGAGCCTGTGGAGTACTTTTTTATGATGCATGGATGCACTTTTTTTGGGCTTCAAAATCTCGACCCCCATTCACTGCCATTATAAAGAGTGGAGACATTTAAAAAAAATATATAACTCTGAAAAAAGAAAGTCATATGCACCTATGATGGCTTGAGGGTGAGTAAATCATGGGGTGATTTTCATTTTTGGGTGAACTATCCCTTTAATGTCACTAACTATACCCTTTAGTTTGTGACCAGGCAGTGGTATTGTTCTCTGCTGTTAATCTGCGATGGATGTGTTGTTGTTGCATGAGTTATTGCAGTCCACAGGGAAAAGGTTGATGTCTCCCCTGTGTGATGGGATTTGGCCGAGTTTCAGTGCAGAGCCGAGAAGAACTGAGCGTCTCCCTTATAAGTCTGAGGGAGCGCATGGATGGTGTCCCACTGACTGGACACAGATTTAATGAATGATTTTCACGCTCTCTCGCGTACATGCTCTCTCTGTATATTTCTATCCCTCTCTTATCTCTTTATTTTCTTCCCTGTGTCTTCTCATCAGTAACCTTGTTGTTCTTTGCTATTTTCTCCTTTTCTTACCCTCTCTCCTGGTGCTTTTAGTGAGAGCGCCTCTATCATTCCACTTTCTTTTGTGCAAAGCATTTTGTATGTTTAGGCTGCTTAAAAGCTAGATGCAATGAACAAGTTCCACTACCGACTGGTGCATATTTTACTGTGGTCCAAGCAAGACAGACAAGATAATGGCTTCTCTTTGTAGTTAAGATGTGGATTGATGGGTCGCGCACCACAATTTATAGCAATTTTTGTAGATCCTTCCAAAAACCGCTGTCATGGAGACACATAACCACCCCACAGTCGTGTGGGTGAGCGAATGTGCTTCTTGAAAACAGTCCAGTTCAAATCACCCATTTGCCATCATTCAGCCAAATGTTGCTATTTAGGCTTGTTATGTGATGTCGGTTTTTGAGAAATAGTCTTTATATTAGCTAAGTAAATACTATGTGAAGTCGTGGTATGTATAGGTAGCGCTGTGGAAGCCCTCTGTCATAATTCCCAGAATGTTTGGCACTGTGAAACTAATGCTTACGCCCACTGCAGGGCATGTGTGCCCTCCAAAACAATACTCCCTTTAGAGTGCGCCCACACTCTCACAATCAAGGCTTTTCTTTCAGTTGGAGTCTGTCTCGCTCACTCCATCCAATAAGATGCTGCACTGACTTCACAGTTTATGTCAGGCTGGTGTTGCTCTAAATGGTGTCGCTGTGCCTTTTTAGTAGTTTTACCTCATAAAATCTTATTTACCTTTTATAACAATCCATACTCTGAATTTGAGAAGTTTACATCATTACTAAGCAACCGGACTTATGATTTCTGGCTAGTGGATGATAAAACAAGCAAACTTGGATGAAGCGCAACTCAGTGTTACAAATTGTTCTGTTTATTTTTTTTATTATTGTTAAAAATGGTCTAGTATGAGTTATGTGGTTTCCAATGTTGGCCTATATTCCATTATTGATATACATGCAGTCTTTTACAGCCCTGGCAATTAAGTGGCCTTTGTCCTCCGTTTCTCCTTGGACAAAGCTCTGTCTGTGTGCACTGTCTCTTTGAGTTTGAATACGGACAGTGTAGTCATCTCTCTGGATTTTCACATCAGCCTTAGCAACTTGTTCAGCCTGTCATCAGTCTGCGTCAAATCGATTATGACATCCGCATGTCTGTTAGCAGGGGGTTCAGGATACTGATCTAAAGATTCAGATTTTGTGGATTGTGTTTGTGGAGAAAAAGCAAATGCCTGCATGAAAACTTAATGTTATTCACCCCAAACAGATTTCTTGAAGCATTTAGCACAGGCTTGTGGCTTATATGTTATAAATGTGGCTGTCAGTAGTCTGTGATTGATCATATTTCCAGTCATTTTGAGGAAAACGCATAATTATTTTGTTTTTGAAATTACCCGCAATTTAAGATGGTTTTTAAGCTGTGCAGAGTAAAGTAAATTGTTGCTTTTGTTTTAGGAGTGGTCATGATTGTAGACTTTATTTCTCTCTTTCTTATGAAATGGCCCCTAGGCTGTATCCTGATTCATTGTTACGGTGTTGAAAGAGAGTGACTGTCTTGTGGTTTAAAACTTCCCTTGGGTATTTTTTTAATGGAGACGGAACATTTCATCCATACCAACCCTTAAGAAGCTTGATGGGGAAGTACTGCATGTCTATACAGAGGCCCAAACATGAAAAGCTCTAGTGTTTTTTCCAGTAAATGTACATTTCCTAGGTATTTCTTAGAAAATGCCCCTAACGATAATGGTAAACCTCTAATACTTCTGCTTACCCATACAGGTCTGAGTGATGACTTGTTTTTGTGTTGTTTGGTATTTTTGGGAGTAAGTACTTCTAAATCTAAATACTTCTACATCTCTTTTACCAGCTTGAGATGTGGGTAACACCATGTCCCAGCTTGGCTTGGCCCAGTGTGCCCTGTGTGTGGGATGAGCACAAAGAATTATGAGCTTGTGGAGAGTGTTTCCTGAGTCAGCTGTGATCCTTCTCTCTCTCATCCCACCCCCGGCGGTCTAGTTCCTTCTGACAGATCAGTAGCAGCTGAGAGAGTGCTGTTTGGGTCTAACCGGGAAGTGGGGGTGGGCGCCATCTGGATCATGTGACTTTGGCCACCCTACCCTCACCTTTGCTTGCAAGAGCGCCAGGCGTCCTTATCCAATCATGCCTGGAATGCAGCTTGCCACTTGGGCTATTTCTGCTGTCTGTCGCTATCGGACTTCAGCTCAAACAGTTTGACACATGGGATAGTTTTTTTTTTCTTCATTTCCCCATCTCTCCCATTCTTGTCAGCTTTTACTCTCTCTCTCTCTCTCTCTTTCTCTCTCTCTCTCTCCTTGAAGTTTGTGGGTTGAACTTTTAAGCTCCCTGGCAGCGCTTCACTGGTAGCTGTGAAACGAAACGCAGCCTCTGTCTGAGTAAGGGAAAGAGAGAGAAAGAAAGGAAAGAGGGTGGATGAGCAAGACGGAGAGGGGGAGAGCAAAAGGGGATCAGACACACTAAACAGTGGGTGAGACAGATCCAGCAAGAGCTGGACAGAGACAGATCAAGGCAGACAGGAGAATGTCTCACCGGCTTCGGCTGTATTTTGGATCGGGTCGCAGTAACACTGCGCCAGAGTTGGAGCGGCTAAATGGGACAGTGGAGGACGGAGAAGAGATTGGCTACAGCGGCGCAGGGGCTATGATGTTCCATACGCAGACTCAAAACGGAGGACTTTCAGAGAGCCCGGAATCGGGTGCTTGTTCGGATGCCTCTCTAAAGCGAAGCTCTTCCATGTTCATCCCACAGCTCCAGGGTCAAACTGAACCACGGATGACCAAGAGCACCTCTGTCCAGATATCTCTTCAACGCTCAACTGCACCTCAAGAAGATGCATTGCCCTTTGATCCACCTCCAGGGTACCCTCAGGAGCCAGCTCCTGCATACACTGAGACTGGTGAAAGCTGGCCCTTACCTCCACCTCCAGCTTACCACAGAGAAGATGCCCCATCCTACCAAAATGTGGAACCAGGTACTGAGCCTATCCAGCCTAAGAGGCAAGTATTTTGCATCCGGCCATGTGATGGACAAAATGGTTATGCTAGTTTGGGTGTACCCAATAATCAAGGGATTACCATTGGAGGTTTCTGTATTCGAAGAAGATCCGCAGATGCCTCGGATGTCCCGCAGTTCAGGATCATGCCATACAGTGAGAATGGCCAGAATGGCCACCGTTGGTCTGTCCAGCAAAGCTCAGACAGAGGTCCTGGAACTCAAAGACTTGTCTTCCAGCTTCAACAGGACCAAGGAAGACACCTTAGCCCTACTCCTCAGGCTGACGTGAGTGATTTGGGCATCACAGGTACTAAAGGCAGCCGCTTGGTGCGGTACCCTCGGATCCGACTTGAGAGGAGCTCTTCACAGCCGTTGCATCCCAGAGGAGCTCCTTCCCGTCTCGGATCTATGCCAAATCTTCATGCCCCGATCTCAGAAATGGAGACCGAGAGTGAGATTGTTGAGAACGGTGCTCAAGGTTGCACATTCAAAATTAGGAAGGAACAAAACTCCCGACAGCCCAAGTTTAAGATCTATTTCAGCCAGGGAGGCGAGCACGGCCCCATCCTTGCACAGGATATTAGCTTTGGAAAGGTGCCTACCTGCAGCAATCCACAGGTAATTACAGCAGAGGGTCTAAAGTTGAGCTTGAAAATGAAAACTTGAAAATGAAGCGCTTAATTTTTTTGTACATTAACAAGCCATTGTTTAGTTACCCAAAGTACACTGTAGGGTGTAGACTTCTCAAAGTGTGTTTTAATAGTTTGTAAGTGGCTGGAGAATGGGAAAAACAGATGAAAGAAGAGGTAGCAGAATTTTGGTGGAGGAAAAAGGAGGTGGGTTCAGGAATGACTTACCCACATTCTGGGAAGTGAAAATTCCACGAAAATGGGGACCAAGAGCAAGACGTAACCACACTGTCTTTAGTTTCCCAACAACCATACAAACTCTTATACTCAAGATATTCAAGAAGTGGAAAATGTATAGAAGCCAGAATCAATTTCAGATGTAACTTCATTCATGGGGGCTTGTCCACTTGTGTTTTTCCCCCTCTCTTGAAGAGGTGCCTGTTCTATCTTTAGTCCCGTGTCAAGTGTTGTTGTTGGTTTTGAAAGCGGCCTTTCTCATTTGGCCTGGGTCACCGTTTATCTCTTGTAACAGCTGTTCTGTGGTGATTAAGGTCTAATATATAGTTACACATACTGCTGCTTTTACAGCACTTTGCTGAAGTGTTATTGCTCAAACGTAGAAAAATTTTCATGCATCATAGTTATATTAAGCTCAAGGCTTTGTTTTCAGAGTTTCTCACATCTTAAGCATTTGCTTTTTCCAACAGTCCTCCTGGTACTTTTTATTTTGCCACATGTAATTTGTCATTCCCTTCAGGTTACCATTGCGTTTACTGGCTTTGAAAGTCCCTTCAGTAATTCATTCTTGGTCATCTTAGAAACCAATTCATCAGTGTAGTGCTGACACACTGTAAGTGTGTGACATTCATCAGTTTGTCACCAACCATTACTAGTATTAGAACTTACTAGTGCGCAGAAGTCATAACAGCATCTTTCCGATGGAATGTGGAAAGCAGGACTTCAGTTTCACTGATGTCGCACTTGCAAACGGAAGGTCCGGAATCTCTGAGACGTCCACATTTCGCAATCAGGACTGTCACACACATACCAATTTCCGAGGCAGCTAACGGCAGCATATATATTTCCAGTACCTGCTCAAAAGGCTTTACTGGAAATGAGTCAGTCAAGGAGCTGAATGTTCCAGCAGCAGAGTTCTTCATCTGAACCTCTCTCACACAGATCTGTTTACTTCTAGCTGTCAAGACTGTTCTTTTGAATGCCTCAAGCATGTATTTGTTGATGTATCTATCTTATGGAATATACTGAATTATCTCTGAAGATAAGGCTTGTAATACATCATAACCTGTAAAGTCCTTGTTTACAAAGAATATACGCTCTTACAGTACAGTTCTGTATCAGTACTTGTTTTTAATAAGATGTTTTGCTGAATTTACCAAATGTAATAACTATGAAATTTCATTCGTCACTTATTGCATTAATTCCCTGTGGGGTGCATGGGTTTTCTGTAGACTTGCCAGTGCTCTCAGGTTAATACATGTGACTGTTTGCTGTTTCACAAGTTTTAGCAAGCGTGATGAAGAGATGTGGGGGGAAATCTCACTTAAGTCTGCTGTGGCAGCTTTCTTACAGAGCTCAGGATTTAGAGCTGTAAAAAGTCTGTGTGTGCTCATAAGTGAAAAAAGAAGAGTTTGAGAGAGTAAAAATGAGATTTAATGGAAGAGTCGAGCTCTGTCAGCATTCCCTATTGCTCTGGTACCTTGCTGTTGCCGCTCAGACAGGAACCCTGCTGCTAAATTTGTGGGGGCTCCAGTCTTATTTTAGCATCTCTGCGTGTTGCGGATCAGTTGTCGGAAGTTTTTTCTCAGGTCCTTTTGTCATAACCCTTGACCCTAAACTTTGCAGTGCCTAGCTGTGTGACCTACAGCTTAACAAAGTAATGGGATCCTTTTTTCTTGCTTCCCTTTTGATCTGTTGTTTGGTTT